GGGGGGCGTTAGAGGGGTCTGAGGGGCATCTCGGGGGGATTTGGGGTGTTAGAAGTGACCTGGGGTTGCTCGTGCTGCTGCTCAAGAGCCTCGGTGGGGGCAAAAGGGGGGGAAAAAAGGGGTCTGGGGGAGTAAAAAGGGGTCTGGGGGCATCCCAGGGGAGTCAGGGGGGCATTGAGGTCCCAGGGGTGGCCCCTGGGGTGGTCCCAGGGTGGTCCCAGGAATCAAGGGTGGTTCCTGGGGTGATCCCAGGGTGGTCCTGGTGGTCCCAGGGTGGTCCTCGTGCTCCAAGGGTGGTCCCAGGATGGTTCTGGTGGTCCTGGGGTGGTCCCAGGCTGGTCCTGGGGGTCCTGGTGATCCCAGGGTGATTCCAGGGTGGTCTTGGGGTGGTCCTGGGGTGGTTCTGGTGGTCCCAGGGTGGTCCCAGGAATCAAGGGTGGTTCCAGGGTGGTCCCGGGGTGGTCCCGGGGTGGTCCCGGTGATTCCAGGGTGGTCCTGGTGGTCCCAGGGTGGTCCCAGCTGGTCCCGGGCTGGTCCTGGTGTTCCCGGGGTGGTCCCGGTGACGCCCCCGGTGCCCCCCAGGGATCAACGACCTGATTCACTTCGACTTCCTGGACCCCCCTCCGCACGAGACCCTGGTGCTGGCCCTGGAGCAGCTCTATGCCCTGGGGGCCCTCAACCACCTGGGAGAGCTCACCACGGTACTGGGGGCACTGGGACAAACTGGGAGGGGCACTGGGAGCACTGGGAAGGGCACTGGGAGCACTGGGAGGGGCACTGGGATGGAGTGGGAGGGACTGGGGCGCACTGGGAGGGGATCGGGGGGCTCTGGGAGGGACTGGGGGACACTGAGATGGGGGCTCTGAACCACCTGGGAGAGCTCAGCACGGTACTGGGGGCACTGGGACAAACTGGGAGGGGCACTGGGGGGCACTGGGAGCACTGGGGGTGTCACTGGGAGGTGTCACTGGTGTGACTGGAGGTGACTGGTGTCCCCTGTCGCAGCTGGGGCGCCGCATGGCCGAGCTGCCCGTGGAGCCCATGTTGGCCAAGATGATCCTGGCGTCCGAGCAGTGAGTGACCCCTGCCCCCAAACGGCCCCAAATAGCCCCAAAGTGTCCCCAAAGTGCCTCCAGGTGTCCTCAGGGTGTCCCTGGGTTGTCCCTGGGTCTCCTTGTGGTGTCCCCAACGTCCCCAGGGTGTCCCCAGGTGTGGCTGCACTGAGGAGGTGCTCACGGTGTCCCCAGGGTGTCCCCAATGTCCCCACATCCCTGATGTCCCCAGGGTGTCCCCGATGTTCCCAGGGTGTCCCTGA